TGTATATTCTTCGTTGTGGGTCCTTCTAGTTGTGGCATGTGGGACGCTGCCTCAGTGTGGTTTGATGAGCAGTGCCATGTCCACGCCCAGGATTTGAACCCACGAAACACTGGGCCGCCTGCAGCGGAGCGCGCGAACTCAACCACTCGGCCACGGGGCCAGCCCCTCTAACAGAGTTTTTAAAAAACAGCAATCATTTAAAAGAAATAGAATTATAATCATCAAAATTTAATGAAAAGATATTGCTTCTGCTTTTAGGAGAAATAAGTAGTGTAAGAACAGCACATTAATAACTATGGGGTAAAAACAAATAGCTTTGCGTTACACTTTTATTGTTTTTAATAATACTTAGAAATACGTGGTCGAATAGCCTATAGGGCAGCCTAGATTCAGCAGCTTTTACAATACAACTGTGTGGTATGCGAGACGTTGTCTGTCGATGTTCCTCAAGCACTCACAGGGATTTCTTGGGTCACAAAAAAGAGATGGGGACCGGAAGAGGTTTGAGGTTTTCGTTTGTGGTTTTTTCTTTGTGGTTTTTTTTTTTTTTTTTTTTTGGTCTGTGGTTTTAGGTTTGTTTGTTTGGGGGTTTGGGGGTTTTTTTAGTTATTTTTGTTTTGGTTTGGTGTTTTTGTTTGTTTTTTGTTTTTTGGCTTGTTTTTAAATGTAATTAATTAACAGAAGAAGATAAACAAGAAATATATCAATTCCTTACGACATACAAGGCATTGTTCTAAATACCTACTTATATTCTCTTTTCTTTAACAATACTGCCCATTAAATATATGAGAACACTGAGATGTACAACAGCTAAAATCTGTCAAAATCACGTAACTAGTAAGTAGCAGAGCCAAAACTTTGAGATAGGAACCTAGATCTGCATCCATACTTGAGCTTTCAAAGACCATTCTTCCTCACTATTTTGGGCGGAACATTTGAAACAGAAAATTGGAACAGACTACCTCTAAATGATGAAATTAAAACATATATCCAAAACTCAATTACATTTCTTCTGTGCACTAGCAATGAAATAGTGATGAACAATGACAATATGAAACAAAATTTTAGAAACAGTTGCACGTACAACACCATCAAATAGAATACTTAGGAATAAATTTTTGAAAGAAGTGGAAGACTTGGAACTGAAAACTACAAAACATTACTAAAAGGACAGACGAAACACAATCCCTGTAAAAGTCCCAGCTACTCTTCAGCAGAAATTGATAAGCTCACCCTAAAACCCATATGTAACGGACCCAGAAAAGCCAAACAGTCTTGAAAAAGAAGAACAAAGTTACAGGACTTACATTTAATTTCAAAACCTATTACAAAGCTACTGTCATCAAATAGTGTAGTACTGGCATAAAGACAGACACTAGAATAAAACTGAGAGTCCAGAAATAAAACCTAACTCATAGTCGATTTTCAATAAGGGTACAAAGACCAACCAATGAGATAAGAACAGTCTTTTCAATACATAGTGCTGGAAAATTGGATCACCACATGCCAAAGAATGAACTAGGACCACTACCTTACACCTTACGCAAAAATTAACTCAAAATGGATCAACAACCTAAATATAAGGGCTAAAAACATAAAACTCTTTGAAGAAAGCATAGGAGTAAATCTTCACGACCATAGATTTGGCAATGGATTCTTAGATACAACACCAAAAGCACGAGCAACAAAAGAAAAAATAGATAAATTGGACCTCATCACAATTAAAACTTCTTTTACAATAAGAGATATTACCCAAAAAAGTGAAAAGACAATCTAGAGAATGGGAGAAAATACTTGCAAATCACATATCCGATTAAGGTTTACTATCCAGAATATTTAAGAAACACCTCAATAATAAAAAGATAAATAACCCAATTAAAAAATGGACCCCCAAAAAATGGACAAAGGATTTGAAAAGACATTTCTCCAAAGAAGATAAACAAATAGGTAATAAGCACACAAAAAAATGTCCAACATCATTACTCATCAAGGAAATGCAAATCAAAATCGCAACAAGATACTATTTTATACCTATTAGGATGGCTGAAGTTAAAAAGACAGACAACCACAAGGACTGGTGAGGATGCAGAGAAACTAGAACCTTCATTCATTGCTGGTAGGAATGTAAAAGGTGCAGTGCCTTAGGAAAGTCTGTCAACTCCTCAAAAGGTTAAAATAGAGTTACCATATAACCCAGCAATCGAGATATGCCCAAGAGAAATGAAAACACATGACCATGCTAAAACTTGTACACTAATGTTCATAGCAGTATTATTCATAATAACCAAAAAAGTGGAAAAAATCCACATGTCTATCAATGGATGAGTGGACAAACAAAATGTGGTATATCCATTCAATAGAATATTATTCGGTAAAAAAAGGAATAAAGTACTGATACACGCTACAACATGGATGAACCTCAAAAACATGGTGCTAAGTGAAGGAAGCCAGGCTACATGTTGTAAGATTACATTATGAAAAATGTCCAGAATAACTAAATTCATGGAGACAGAAAGTAGGTTAGTTACGCCTGGGGCTGGGATACAATCTAATAAAAAATGCTGATGGGCACGAGATTTCTCTGTAGGGTGATGAAAATGCTCTAAAAGTAGATATTGGTGATGTTGGGCAAATAGCGAATATACTACAACCACGAAATTGTACACTGAAGAGGTTAATTTTATGGTAGGCAAATTATATCTCAAAAAACTTGTTTTTTTTTAAAAGACACAAAAAAAGAGCCACAGGAATGTAATGTACAGCATGGTGACTATAGTTAATAATACTGTATTGGGATATTTGAAAGTTGCTAAAGAGTAGATCTCAAAAGTTCTCATCACAAGGAAAAAAATCATATGTATGGTGATGGATGTTTGCAATATACACAAATATCGAATCATTATGTCATACGCCTAAAACTAATGTCAATTATATTTCGATTTAAAGAAAGATATCCCCAGAAAAAGAAGATTGGCAACAGATGTTAGCTGAGGTGTCAATCTTTAAAAAAATTTTAAAAATTTGAAAAAAAAAGAAGTGCCAAGTTGGTTTAACACTTGAAAATCAATATATTTAATCATATCAACAGAACAAAGGGAAAATCATATCATAATAATACCAACACATGCAAAAAAGAAAAAAAAGACATCCACATAAACTACAAAAATGACACAGAGAATAAAGCACCTAATTTTTCCATTTTTCTTCTTCAGATGCAACCTCAACTCCTAGTCTGGGCTTCTTACACATTCATATTTCATCCAGTGAAGAACAAAAAAACACTATTGAAATTCCAAAAAAAGGCCCTGAAATATCAAATAACTTCCAAACAATTCTATTTTAGCATCGACTCTGAACTAAACATAAATCTCAATTTCAAAATGTCACACAAAGACTACAAATACTCAGAGGTTTAAGCAAATTGCCAACTTTTCTGAATAAACAGTAATTCAGATTTGCTTTGATGAAAATGTAAATATTTACCTGCCTCAAAGGAACAAAATCCTATAAGCCTAGCATCCCCAAATGATGAAGAGAAAGAAACATACATTTTTTTTATTCTGCATTTTGTTTCAGAATTAATTTTAACCTAGCTAGGGCATACGGAGTGGATGGTTTATACTAACCAATGTATACTCCGCTTTTGCCTAGAACATACTGAAGACACGGCATTATGAACAGTCACGAAAGTTAAGTTGGGACCTGAGAAAAATCACATTACACAGTAAATCTAACAAAGATAATCTCAAAAAGCTCCTGAAAGTGTCTCAAGAACTCCTGTTTTGGAAACTCCCTAAGTCATTTAGTCTTCCTGCAAATATTTTCTGACCATCTACCATGTGCCAAGCACTGTGCCTGCTATCAGGATGCCATGGTGAGCTATAAACACAACAGGTCCCCGCTGCAGGAAGCTCACTCTAAAACAGTGCCTGTCAATGTGCCTGCATCACAACAACTTGGGAGCTTGTTCAAATTCAAAACCTGCTCCTACGCCTTGGAGAGCCTGAATCCGTGGGCCTGGGGTGAGTTGGGACGCCTGTATCTATTTCAAGCGCTCCAGATTATTCCTATGCCCTGGCTGTTTTGGGAGCCCAATGCTCAAGGCCATCCCATCCCATCCCATCCCACCCGGCGAGGGCACACCTCCGAAGTCCATTTCGCTCAGCATCCTTCACCCTGACCGATACCCCCAAACAAACTACGAAGCTGGGGTGGATGTAAAGCATCCCAAAATCACGGTGCTGAGCCACCGACAGACTTGTTTCCTCCCGGGGACGGACAGCTCACTCCCTGAGATTCCACCTGGGGCTGTCTGCACCTGAGCCTCCCCGGGCTGCGCCGACACCTGTCTCCCAGCGGCTGCAGTCTACCTCTCCCGCGGGACCCCGGTAGGCGGCAGCCGCCTCCCGGTGGGGTGGAAGGCGAGGGGGAGGGGCCGCGGCATTAGGCGCCGACTGTATACCGCACCCCCGCGCGCGCGCGCACAGAAACCCGCAGAAAACTGAGGCGGGCAGGCAGCAGAGCTGGTCCTGCCGCCAAGCGGGGCGAGGCGGGGCTCGAACCCGGCCCGGGGGACGGATTCCGCCTCGCGGGCGCTCGTCAGCCGCTGAGGCCCTGCCCGGCTCGCACCGACAGAGTTTCACAAAGAAAGTCTCCCGGCCCGCGCCCCTCACGCACTCACCGGCGCCGGCGCCGGCGGCGACTCGGGCTCCCGCCGCCTGCGGCTCCGTGCCGGGGTCGGCCCCGGGGTTGGCTCGAGCGCCGGCGGCGGCAACTGCTCCATCCCGGCGGGGCCCGGGCCGCGTCCGCCTCGAGCTAACGGTCCCGCCAGCTAGGCGCGCGCGCCGACCCCGCGCGCCATGTTCCCGCCGTGCCGCGCGCCGCCGCGGCAACCCACTCCACCCCCAACCGCGCACGCGCGCACTCGCCGCGCCCGCTCCCCGCGCGCCGCCGCGGATCTCCCCAACCGCGCACGCGCGCACTCGCCGCGCCCCCTCCCCGCGCGCCCCGCCTCGCATCCTTCGGAGCCGGCCGCTGTTCCCGGCGTCGCGCCCACCCCCTCCGCACCCGTCCGGCCTGACCCGAGCGCTCGCAGTTCAGGGCTCGGCGCCGCCGCCTGCCGCACTGCAGACGACCCTGGGCCAGGCGCCTCCGCCCCTTCCTGCCACTGCCCCTTTTGCTTCACCCGCGACGCCGGACTTGGGGCTCAGGACTCGGCGAGGAGGGAAGTACCCCCAAGAAGTGCCGGGGGAACGACGCCGCTGAAGTGATGAGATCCCCGTCCTGGAGGTGTGCAAGCGCGTGCGCGAACGTAAGTGGCACAGTGAATGCCCATGTCCCTGGGAGAGCCAAACTCAATGGAGAACCTGAGTTTGAGTCTCGCATCTCCGAGAGCCTTTGCGTGATTAAGGTCAGGTCTCCAGGGGCCTGTTTGTCCTTAATCAGGAAGGTCCGACAACTAAAGCATGTTGGGAGGACTCAGTGAGATAATCCAGCTAAAGTGTCAAAACTGCCGCCTAGTACTTACAAGTGGTCATCGGGTGACCAGACCTCTTGAGTAGTTTTAACGTAACCAAACCAAGGGCTCTCGAGAAGGGAAATCTCGGTTCAAGTCTCACCTCCACCTCTTGCAAACTGGGAAACGTTGACCAGGCCACTTGTCCGAACCAGAGAGCCTTGATTTCTAAATCTGCGAAGGGGAGAGCGGTAGTAGTGCCTCACAGGGTTGAGGCTAGTTTTCAGACGATGGGTGTACATCCCTGAGCACAGTACCTGGCACGCACCAAGCTCTCCAAGCTTTGCTGGTTTAATTCCTGCCCTATCCTTCCAAGACTCCTAAAAGTTTACTGAGAGTACTCTGTTCCCAAACCCTGTGGTATAATTAGCTGGGAGGGGTTCATACAACCTTCTGGCTGGAGGTACTGTTACTTCCCACATCTTCGCTTTCCATTCTCTGCCCCAAACCTCTCTGAAAACCCTAAAGTTGGCAGGAAAACAGCAGCAGAGAATGTTCTCCCTACTAGAAAAAGGAGTCTGCAGGGGTCTCTTGGAGTTTGTAAATGGTAAATAGTCTGGCCTTTTCCAGATACAAGTGACCAAAAAACCAACTCAGAGTATAACAAAAACGGGAACACATTTAAAAGTCCTGGGGTGGTACCTCACTTCAGGCACAGCTAGATCCAGGTGCTCAAACAATAACCTCAGTCTTCCTTGAATCTCTCTGCACTGCTTCCCCCTGTGATGACTTCACTCTCATGCAGTTCTCTCCAGTGTCCCCGGCAGCTCCTAGCTCACATGCCACGGGGAAAGCAGGAGCTGTTTCCCAATAGTTCCAGCCGAAGTCCCAGGGTTGACTTTCATTGCACCCTTTTGGGTCACATGCCCCTGCCTGAGCCAATCAGAGCAAGATTGGCCAGACCTGGCTATATGGAGCCCCTCTAGGAAAGGGGTGAGATCAGCCCCTCAAGAAGGAGATGGGGTGCGGGCAAGTGGAAGGAGGCATGCCTCCCCCAGAAAAATAGGAATGCAATTACCACAAGAGGCATCAGGTGCAGGACTGGCAAAACTAAGAGCTGTCCACAGCACCGTCATCTAGGCATGTGGCAGGTCGGCCGTGGGGCAACATGCCTGTTCTTCAGAAGGGAATGGCGGTTACTTTAGCCCTTGGGAAATGCCCCTCCACCTCTGCTCCCACCACCCACCCCAGCCTCAGCATTTCCCAAATCTGCTTTGCCAAAGGCATCTAGGTTATCCTCCCATCTTGTGTGCCTCCCAAAAAGGTGAAGAGATGATGTTACTTCCTTGATCAAGAACTTGATCAAGTGGCTCCCACTGGCCACTTACATGGCCCTCCTACCTTTAAGAATAGAAGCCAGCATTGATGGATGGACCTCACAAACACCATGTGAGGTTAGTACTCTTATTGCACCCAGTTTACATATAAGGAAATAAAAGCTCAACAGTTTGAAGTAACTTGCCCAAAGCCAAAGTCAGGAAGTGCAGAGAGCGCAGCTTAGCACAGTACTGCTCCTACCACCACTGTTGCCAGCCCACCACCATTTGCTCATGTTGCAAAATCCTCTGCCCACCTCCAGCTGGGTGGACAATGGGAGGAGCTCTGTCAGGGAAGGAGCCTCCAGGGACCCCTTCAGCTTCCATAATGGGGGGCAGGCAGACACTTAACTTTACCATCTCCCCCTCCCACCATGACTTCATAGGATAGGGAAAAAGATCCCCCCGAAAGAAAATTGGAGTGAAATTAGGAAGAGGAAGTAGATGCTGGGCAGCCCCAAGTCAGCAGCTGGTGTCTCCCCATTGGTGAGTGTATTAATTTCCTATGGCTGCTGTAACAAATTACCGCAAATTGGGTGGCTTACAACAACACGAATGTATTCTCTTACAGTTTTCTAGGTCAGAGGTCTGAAATCAGTTTCACTTGGCTGAAGTCAAGGTGTAAGGAACTGGTTCCTTCAGGAGGCTCCAAGAGGAAAATCCATTGCCTTGCTTTTTTTCAGCTTCTAGTGGCTGCCTACATTCCTTGGCTTGTGGCCCTTTCCTCCATTTGCAACGCATATCACTCCTTCTCTTCTGACTCTGACTCCTCCTGTGTCCCTCTTAAAAAGAATATTGTGATGACATTGGGCTGGATAAGACAGGATAATCTTCCCATCCCAAGATCCGTAACTTAATCACATCTGCAAAGTCTCTTTTGCCATGTAAAGGAACATATTCATAAATTCTGAGAATTAGAAGGAGGATAGCTTTGGGCGCCATTATTCAGCCTACTCTGGTAAGTATAATCAGAGGGAGCTCGTACACAGTGCTCTGGAAACAGAGAAGGGCTGGGTGACCCTGCCCCAAGAAGGAAAAACGCCCTAAGAAACCACAGCCTTCACATTAAATATTCAAATGAGCTAAAATCCATCTAACTTGGCAATCTAAGCCTCATTCCCATAAATATACAAACCACCTAAATCACCATCTACCCCCACCCCCACCCCCACCAGGCCAGCCAAGCCTCAGAATGCTTGCACACCCTTCGTATGGAAATTACCAACCATCACCCCCATTGCCTGGGGCAACAGCTGTGTGCCCCTGATCCTGCCCTGGCTGGCTGACCAGTGGCATCTGAAAAAAGTTACAAGAGAAGCAAAATCAATGGGTCAGAAAGACAAAAGGCCAGCCGTTAGAAATTCCTGGGTTCCTGATGGCTCCCAGGCCCAGCCATCTGTAACCTTGAAACAAATCCCCTTTTCCATGAAGTACTTTGAATGGACCTCTGTTCCTTGCCACCAAGGTGTTCCAACTTGCACAGATCATGGGGCTGTACCCATTCATAATCATTGAACACACTGGCATTCAAGATTTAGACATCAACTTCTTGTGAGTTTTGTCTGTGTGAGTCAACATCCCTGAGTCTTATTGAATACGAGACTGAGGAGATGAGGAACGTTAGTTTTAGAGTCAGAAAGACCTGGGTTGGGTCCCAGCTCTACTACTTACTAGCTATGTGACATTGGACAAGTCACTCCTTCAGCCTGGGTTCCTCACCTATAACATAAGGGTGGTTGCAGGACCCAACCCATAGAATCACTGTGAGGACTAGACAAGACCAACCAAGAGAGGGGCTTTACACAGGGCCTCCTTGATCATTGTTGGGTCAACCTGACATGCCCACATGCCTTATTTGCATTTCCAAAATCCAAACAGCTCTGAAGCCTGAGAGTCATCATAACTCACTGAACTGACTTGAAGCTACTTATAGTCTTCTCTCTCCTTTTTACCGTGAATATTTGCTACAGAAATATTCAATTGTTTGGTTATAGGATTCTGCAGGGTGCTACACATAGTACAGTCGATGTGCCATGTCGTCTTCCTAAAATCAGGAAAACTTGGAATTTTACAACTTATCTGGCCCCACGGTTTCAGGGACTGTGGACTTGTATCTTTATGAAGGTGAGAATTTAACACTGGCCTGTGGTATAAGCAGCTACTATCTCATGAGGACTTTGGCAGCCAGCCAGTCTCTACCAACTCCACCCCAACCTTGCTGGGCCCCTTTCCCTGCAACTTTCTAAGGGGCCTTTAGAATTTGTACGCAGCTCCCCAGGCTGAGACCAGGGATACATCCTGAAACACCTGCCTGCTTACGGCCAGGACAGACCGCCAGATGAAAGGCACACAACAACTTCAGATACACACACACAAAAGGCATGCAAACAAAGAGTTGGTCATCAAGCAGAAGCATAAAGCCCAGGTTCCAATAGGTTTTGAACAGTGTATCGATGATGATGGAAAAGCAACTGTTCCCATAATTAAAATACAAACTATAAAAAACAGAGTTAAAGAAAAACAAAGCCCAAAGTTAGCACAAGGAGGGAAATAATAAAAATCAGAGCAGAAATAAATGCAATTGAAACAAAAGACAGTAGAAAGGATCAATGAAACAAAGAGCTGGTTCTTTGGGACAATAAACAAAACTGACAAACCCTTAGCCAGATTCACAAAAAGTAAAAGAGAGAAAGCTCAAATAAATAAAATTAGAGGAGCCGGCCCAGTGGCACAGCGGTTAAGTTTGCACATTCTGCTTCAGCGGCCCAGGGTTCGCCAGTTCAGATCCTGGTAAAGACATGGCACGGCTTGGCAAGCTGTGCTGTGTGTGGTAGGTGTCCCACATATAAAGTACAGGAAGACGGGCATGGATGTTAGCTCAGGGCCAGTATTCCTCCGCAAAAAGGGAGGATTGGCAGCAGATGTTAGCTCAAGGCTAATTTCCTCAAAAAAAAATAAATAGAAAGGAAAGAGAAGAAATTACAACAGATACACAGAAATACAAAAGATTATAAAGAATACTATGAAAAGTTATATGCCAACAAATTGGACAATCTAAAAGAAATGGATAAATTCCTAGAATCTTACAACCTCCTAAAGCTGAATCAAGAAATAGATAATCTGAATAGACCAATCACAAGTAAAGAGATTGAAACAGTAATCACAAACCTCCCAGGGCCAGCCCAAGGCACAGCAGTCAGTTAAGTTCACATGTTCGGCTTTGGTGGCCCAGGGTTCACCAGTTCAGATCCCAGGTGCAGACCTACACAATGCTTGTCAAGCCATGCTGTGGCAGGCCTCTCACATATAAAGTAGAGGAAGATGGGCATGGATGTTAGCTCAGGGCCAGCTCAAGGCCAGTCTTCCTTAGAAAAAAGAGGAAGATTGGTGGCAGATGTTAGCTCAAGGCTAATCTTCCTCAAAAAAAAAAACAAAAAAACCTCCCAAAAGATAAAACTCCAGGACCAGATGGCTTCCCCT